CGCGAGGGTCCTCAATTTGTCTTTGACCCGACGTGTGGAAAATGGGTAGGGTGGTCCCGCTACTAAAACCGGGAAAATCAGGCAACAAAGGAGAGTCCTATCGGCCGATAACTCTCCTCTCCCCAGTAGCGAAGACACTTGAGGCCTTACTGCTCCCGACCTTCACTCACCATCTGCGTCCAGCAGCGCATCAGCATGGCTTCCGAAAAGTGCACAGCACCACAACAGCACTTAACGCCATAAACACCCAGATAGTCCATGGCCTCAACCAAAACCGACCCTGCGCGCGAGCTGCCCTAGTAGCACTGGACTTGTCAAAAGCTTTTGACACAGTCAATCATTCAGTGCTACTAACGGACATTGAGGAATCCTCATTACCGCCGGGGTTGCAGAGGTGGGTCATGGGCTACCTGAGTGGTCGACAATCATCGGTAATATTCCGAGGTAAAACATCTAAACCCAGAAAAATTAAACAGGGGGTTCCGCAGGGTGGTTTCCTCTTCCCGCTACTGTTTAACTTTTATATATCGAAACTCCCTCCACCACCAGAAGGAGTTTCCCTAACCTCGTATGCCGATGACTGTACGATAATGGCGTCCGGCCAGGATATTGATGACCTCTGCTCGAAAGTAAACGGCTACCACGCTGATCTCTCCCACTTCTTCACTGCAAGACAATTACGAATCCAACCGACAAAATCCTCGGCTACCCTTTTCACCAACTGGACGAAGGAATACAGGCTTGAACTGGATGTAAAGGTCGATGACGAAAAAATTTAGACGATAAATAACCCAAAAATATTGGGAGTAACTCTAGACAGCCTGCACTCCTTCACTCCGCATACGACCGCAATTGCCGCAAAACTCCAGAGCCGCAACAAAATACTCAAAGCGCTAGCCGGCAGCACCAGAAACCTCCTGATGTCGCCGGAGCATCACTTGCACAGGGAAGCTTTTATGCAATGAGTTAAGGAGCATAATGCTTTGCTGTGCAAGCAGTTTCTATTGGGATGCTACTGCAGGGAGCACCCCAGTAGGCACCTAATAGAGGCTGAACCTCCACCTAGACACATCAAAAAGGGAGTACTAGACTTAAAGGACACAATCCAGCAACACATACAACAACCGCTGGACAGGACGGCGTACCGACAAGCACTGTACGCCATTCACCAGGAGTCAGTCAACACCTTCAAGGACTCCCTTTCAGTGAATGGTGTACTCGGAGAAATACTATCCAGACTAGACCCCAGCATACCCAACGGAATTACAATTCCGCAATTTACAAGGTTTGCATGCTCTTTAAAACAGTTGAAAGGTGATCTGATCTCTTTAGAATTGCTTTTATTGCTTTTGTGCACACATTTGTGTATGTATGTATATATTACAAGTACGACTTTTTACCTTTTTGAATTTACAGAAAGGCGACTGGGATAGCCGAGTGGCTAGCCTTGCGCACTGCCATTCGGAAGGGCAGACTTCGTGTTCTGCTCCGACCAACATCTAAAAAATTGTAAAGAAATTTAATTTAAATAAATATAGTTTTAACAAGCTGGAGGCACGTGGCACATAACGAGGGGAAATATAGTTTTATTGCGAACGAAATTTCCCGGCCGATGTCAATTGCCCACCTTTTCTCTTTGGGTGGGATGAGGAGTAAGCTAGGGACCGAACTATACATTATGATTCGATTTACTTGAAAGGGAACACAGATGGATTTTTGCTTAGATTGACAGCAAGACTACACTTCTTTACGGGATCTTATATGCCTTAATGGAATACTTTTGTTTCTGAAAATTAAGCATAAAGCCACTCTGCAGGTTCAAAAATAGATTAATTTATTTAAATTTATTGTAGGAATATGAGAAAAAGAATTGAATTTCTATTTAACCATTTCTTTGAACATATTGAAGCATATAAAAAATATTTAATTTAATGATAAATCCTATTGTTTAATCCATGTTTTTTTTTTGCAAGTCGTCCACGGAACAGAAAAGCAAAAAGTTTTATGATCTACAAACAACTATGGTATTTGGGAGTACGTACGGATTTATTTTTTTTTTTTAACTAATTTTTGTGAACTCGGCACACTTTTTTAAAATGATTTTTGACTAAAATTTGCTCATGAAATTAATAAAAAAGCAAAAAAACATCATATATCGTAATTTTTTCACTATTTTCAAAAAATATAGATGGTCTGAAACAGTTCCATAAAAAACACAAAAAAAAAATATATATACTTAAAAAATAATGTATATGTTAAGCTACCATCAAAATTTCATAATATAAATCGAAGCAATTGGGTCAAACTCAAATAGGTCTCAACTCTCAAGACAGCCGGTTCTACGTACCGGAGTTGACCCGTATTTTATTCGGCCAAGGGCTGTCACCTTTTCGGCGACCTACCCACGTTTAGTTCAACAGGAAACATAAGTCAAGCCAACCTAGCAACACCTTGCAGCTGGGTTTCTGCAAATACTTATTATCAGAACTGGTGTGGAAACCAACCCTGGTCCGACGGACTATTTCTCCTGCGTGTGTCACAAAAGAGTTCACCACTCCTCCACCTCGGTTAGGTGCAACCAGTGTAATGGTTGGAGTCACCTTAAGACCTGCTCAGGCCTTAAGACCCACAGGGAGTGGACCACTAGTTATGTGGTCCCATGCTGCCAGCGAGCAAACGCCACCCTAGCCTCCACGGCAGTGCCTTCAGCACATTTGCCCACTTTGGGTAATCAACAGACCTCTACGGTCTCACGGAGCTCCCCGCAGCATGACTCCCACCAACCTCCATCCCCATCCTTACCCACAACCATCTTCTTATCCTCCTCCGGTGCGAGGGCTACCCAGCAGCTCTCCAATGCGACACTGCAGTCCTCATCGTACCAGCTGTTTTTGCGACCTTTACGAAATCCAAACGTTTTGTTTGCAGATGTACGTAGGGAGCTTGAAATACCGTTCCACAGTTCCCGTATACCGATATGCTGATGAATGCTCTCAGAAAGCAGGAGTGCAAGTCGAGTAGAAAATCGTTCAGCCGTTTGTTGTGCTTGGAGCTTTTCAACATCGAACTTTCCTTGTGTTTGTTGACGGGCGTTCTTCGATACACAGAGGCGCGTGCGCATCTTCGCTGAAACAACATAATGGTCGAAGTCGATGTTGGGTCCTCGGAGTGTACCCACGTCAAGAACACTGGATACATGTCTTCCGTCTTCGTCCGGTGCCTGACTGTTTTGTTTATTTCGAAAATTTCCATTGCAATTAACATTTAATGGACTTTGTCTAAATGTTGTGAATTAACATTTCTTGAGCATCTGTTATTGTAGTTCATGTTTTTATATAAATAATAAGTTTCAATTAAAATTTCTTTAGCATCTAAGAAGGATTTCGGGTTCCTAGCATTAATATAAGTTTTGCTTCAAATGGCAATTTATTTATACAAATTTTTAGAACCATTTTTTAACTCGAACCGTTATCATACCAAGTACTAATTTCAAAGGTTGGCTTTTAAGTTTAGCTTAATTAACCGCGCAAATAAATATACGTAGAGGTCGTTAATAATGTTCTTACACTCTGGGGCTTTTGTTTTATTAACAATAGTTTTAATATTTTCATAAACTCCGAAATTCGATTTTAATATAATGTATAATCGAAGGTGGTGTGTTGTGACAGGCTATAGTTGTTGGTCTTGTTAATTTTTCAGCTTGAGCACTTCTTGTCTTGTTTTTTTGTTCTTATTTTACGACTGCGCCAATGAAATAAAAAGATACTTGTTTCTTGTTATTTTGTTTTGTCACCTTCTTTGTGCGGTGATTCGTTTGGTCAGTGAGCAATGTGGTTGTTGGTAGGTGCTTGACCAACAGCCACTGTAGGTATACATATTGTTGCGAAAATGCGAGGCGAATGTCAGATGAAAGAGAGAAGCCGATAACTAGTACGTTCTAGAAACGATAAAACAAGAACCTTCCATAGCGAACAATTCGATGCTTCTACGCTTTCGTCTGCGAGCAGCCGACTGCTATATAAAGGCGACACTCAGCTGCAAGTCAAGTTAGTGATAAAGTAAACTCGTTGGCGTTAACATCAGTAAAGTCGTAAAGTAAACGTGTTGGGATTACATTTAAGTAGAGTAAATTGTGAAAGTTGATGATAGTGATTGTAAATAATTAAGTGTATTGTAATTGAATTGTGAATTACGGAGTAAATAAAGGACATTAGATTAATTCTTTATAACGAAAGATACTGCAAATTGAATTGGCGAGTTTTTATTTAACAATCCAGAGATCGTACCCGAAGGATTTAGAAAATAATCGAGGTTGATTTAGTAAAATCGTAACAATATGTATGCACATATATATTGCAATAGCAAAAAGTGGAGGTGTAAAATAGTCGACTACACTTAGACTGCGATCAGACCATCAAAAGTCTTTATATCGGTTTTTCTCTATTCGTCAAACTTTTGTGTTCTTCCATTTTTCTTAGTATATTATATTTTCGAATGAAGTATATGTGACATTTAGAGCAGGTGGTGATTTCTTATTGCTAAGCTTCATGCAGTAAATTTAACCAAAATTTCTTTTGTAGTACGCGGTTTTCATTTAATCTTTGTGTTTGTAGTTTTTTGTGGAACTAAGTGGTAAGGGGTTATTGTTGAAATTAAATTCGCAGTTCATATATCGCTTTAGGTCCAATATTATTTATGATACTTCAAAGTAGAAGTTCAATTATTTCGAGTCGAACAATTGAAAATTCTAGGACGGCACCATGTAAAATACCAGACTTTAACACAAATCGAAAGCATCCTGGATCAAAAGTGGTAACTTTCTGTAAGGAAAGTTAAGCTTACCATTTATTATTTATCGAAAAAGTTCTAAATTGGGGTTATTTGCATAATTTGCGCTAGATGCTTGACACATCGAGAAGGTTTCCACTTGACCAAAACAAAATGTTTTCCCATTAGTATAGCTTGAACTCGAACTTAATAATGCTTTTACGAAATTTCAGGAAAATTTCCTATGGATCGTGGTTCAGTGTATTAAAATAAAATAGAAGTATACATTTCCAAAAAAAAAGAAAAACTACCACCCATAAGAAGAGGAGCTCAAAAATGTTGAACGGAATGAGCATTATAAGTAAGATGTGTATGACGTTCTACTTGCTGCTGTTATGTTGCGGGTTGATAACCGGATCGTCGCATACATCCCTTAAATATCAAATAAGCTCATCCATTGAAAACGACGATGATTACTTATCTCAGAAAGGTAAGAGAAACGAATGAAATTGACGCAGGCATCTATAATATATAAATTAACATTTTATTTTAATAATGTATATTTATAAACATATTTGGCTTTTTATAAAGATTACTATGTTTTTTCAGAAAATGTTTTGGAGAAATCCTATCATGGGTTAATACGTGAAAATGAAACTTTAGTTGAAATAACACCACTAATAAAAGTAGATGAGCAAAAAATTTGCAATTTTCGCATAATAAAGAAACCATATCATGAAATACCTTTTCTGGTGTGTATAAGATATATTTCCTTTAATTTAATAAATTGCAACCATGTGTTTGCGTATTTTCAGATCGAATTAGTAAACAATTTAGGGATTCTAAAGGTACGCCGGACTTTGAATTGTGAAAAGCGAAAGAGTTATCATTTTGAGATAATGGCTATTTTCTGCGATGGAACCCACTCAGGCACGGCCAATGTCCATATAACAGTTATTGATATTAATGAATACGCACCAACATTTTTGCAGCCTTCATATGTTACTGCGGTCGACGAAGGACGCCTATACACGGAGATTATCCGTGTGGAGGCGAAGGACAAGGACTGCACACCCTTATTTGGGGATGTTTGTAAATATGAAATCCTCAACAATGATCAACCTTTTATAATTGATAATGAAGGATCTATAAAAAATTTCGAGCCGTTATCGCACAAAGCCTCACATAATCATATTTTGTCAGTGGTTGCTTACGATTGTGCCATGAAGGAGTCGGCGCCAATTTTGGTGAGCATTAAAGTCCGTCGAGTTTGTGAGGCGAAATTCTTGGGAATTCCGGAACGTATAGACTATGTGGTAGGTTATATAGAAAATAAAGGTATGCACTGAAGTCATACTGCACATATATAAGAAAATATATATACACATGTATATATTGAAATTTGAGACCAGTTTTCATTATTTACTATACAGGCGTCGTCGGCAGAAAGCGTGTTCCTGTTTCCAAATGCGCGTCTTGAACTCTGCGACATGTTTTGCAGCACTCGTAACTTGAACATACACACATCTGTTGCCTTGAAGGTAATATAAATAAAATAAAATTTCATGAAATAAAATATATTAATACAAAGAAAAACATAAGAAGAATTAATACCATAGTATTATCCTCACGACAGTGTGCTTTACGCACTGGAGTTGACCCGAAATTTAACCAGCTAAGAGCTGTAACTTTTTCGGTGATCTAACCTTGTTTATATCATCAAGTAATTCTAGTTTAAGAGATGAAGCCTAAACTACTTGTGTGTTCGACAATCAACATTAAATTAAGTAAAGAGTTCGGTACGGTGGTGTTCGAGCTCTGGAACTGTTTTATTTTCTAAGATCCATTCACCACCTGATCTCATAAGAGTCGGTAATGAAATCTTAAATCCGTTGAAACAATTGGGTTCCTGGATCTCCCGTTAGATGACCTCCACGACATATACTGACTTTTCCTGCTCCCATGGCTTGTTGAGCAAGCTACAGCAACAAATATCTTACGGTTATTGTATCACCACCACGAGCAAAAACACAGAAAACCCATGTCATTAAAAATTGTGATTTGTAACCCTGTGTAAAAAATGTTGGTCTTACCGTGTTTATACTAAAATATTGGCATTTATTTCAATAACAGTGAAATACGGTGTCGAGATATAGCTAAGGCTATATGTTATTTTTAAAACCTCGTTTTGAGACCGAAAGTTCCTACGCAATTTAGGGGGAAAAATTATGCCTATTTAAACCAAAAAAAAAAAAAAACAAAATCATATCTTTTTTAACAACAATAAATATTTTTGACGGAGAATTTAATATTGACATTAAACGTAAAAATGCTGCAAGAACAGATAAAGAGGGTTATGTTGTTGGTCTATGTTTTCTAAAACATTCGTAAGAAATTACAAACCTATACAAAGAGAAATAAAAAAATTTAGTGTATTATTTCAACTTTCCAAAAAAATATAAAACAAACATTCTATGTTTCAGAGGTGAAGTGTGTGTTCAGAGGTGGAGAGTCAGTGCAGACCTCCTCCGCGCTACAAAAAAATACTCTAGTGATCCTTTAAACAGAATATGTTGCATTTGCTCCAATAAAGCTCCCTCTATACTTGAGTTTAGGGGAATTATGTATATTCAGCCGTAGTCTCTGTAAATAAACTCACTTATATGATTAAAATGTTTTTCAATACCGCCATAAACATAAACGTCAAATGATAAAACTGCAATACCGCTATTTGCATATATACGGTATTGCACCCCAAGCGATGATACAGAAACTCTATTTTTAAAATTTCTCGATTCTTACAGACAAAACACATTTCTTTCGGTTGTGATCGTGATATCAATAATTGCTCAACTAGGCTCTCGCTCATTAATTTGCTGCCTCGCAATTCGGAATGGACGAAGGATCTAAACTATGACGAAGGCTTCGAGCCTGTCTTTCACTTCGATGGATCAACAGGTGTAATCGTACCCGATTCAGTAATTACTCACCACGACTTTTCGACACGTCCTTTCAGTATAGTGACAATTTTCAGACACTTCAGCGTTCCCACGAATAATAAACACATTAAGGAGCACATAATTTGTACCGCTGATGATCACAAAATGAACCGGCATCACATGGCATTGTTTGTTCGGAATTGTAGGTTGATTTTACTATTGCGTAAAAATTTCAACGAAGGTGATCTAAATATATTCAGTCCGGCTGAGTGGCGCTGGAAGATACCACAGGTCTGTGACAACGACTGGCATCACTATGTGCTTAATGTTGATCAAATGGCTAAGGTAGAGTTGTATATTGATGGTGTACGATTTGAAAGTTCTGTTGAGGATCGCCACAGCAATCCCGAAGTGATAGACGATTGGCCGTTGCATGCTGCACATGATGTTAACACAAGACTGGCGGTTGGTGCCTGCTATCAAAGTTCGGAGAACCGTTTGAAACATGGATTTAATGGAGACATTTCTGAGATTAAAGTATCGTTGAATTCTTTACTTTCAATGGAAGACGTGCGCTGCGGAGCGAATTGTGCTGAACATTTACTTCCACCACCCGAAGGCTTGCAAGAAGCTGATTCGCAGATCTTAATCAATGCACAAATGAATGAAATTTACATAGAAGGACAAAACAAGATTAATGTAGAAAAATTGCTTCAGAAAATTCAATATATTAACACTAAAAACAATCCCACGATTGGCCGGCGAAATATTGAGGTTCGCACTACTATGATGTGCATTAACCAAAGTTCCACACGTCTTCCCACAATTGAAACATACATAATGGTTAATGAGCCCAATCAGTTGATACTGCCGGAACAAGCATTTGACAGTAGTCTTGTTTCCTATAATAGTGCCATGAATGCCGGTGAATTTAAATTAACGTTGGTCACCGCCTCTCCATTTTCTAAGTCTTCACTTATAAGTAGCAGGCCTAATGATATAGCCGACCAGATGCCGCACAAGCTTACAGTAATTAATATTGGGGAAAAGGCAAAAATTGTAATCAATGGTAAATAATAATATTACGTTTATATACTGATATTTATGAAGGAACCAGTAGTTTCATTAAAAAAATTAAATAAAAAGATATTGATCAAATTATCAGCTCACATCATAATTTTGTTAAAGTTATGTAACCGCTACTGTGCGGAAGAATACAGATTTCTACCAATTTAAGCGAAATAATTCTTTATATGAATAGCGTCCGTCGTGATATAGTTCTAATATATGGAGGGATCTACAGTTTATTCTAAGCCGTCTGCGAACTACTGATCAATTTAAATTGTTTTAGCAAAATTTCTTTAATTTAAAGTAAGAATTCGAATCCCTGACCATCCAAACGCATCCAAACGCGCTGCGAATCTCTTAGCATTGCTGTTGTTGCTGTTTTTTAACGATCTAATCAAATCTTGTTTTGATTTAAACCTAGTAGTTTTACTACAGCTGCCGAGCTATAGCTTATATGAACGCAAAACTCTCCATTTAAAAATGCGTTTTGCGGCCGTGAAGGGACAATTGATTGATTTGATAGATACAGAAAAAATTTAGGTAAACTCTAAATATGTTCATATAAATAAAGTTTAGAAAATATTATACTCTTGTGCAAAAAAAGGCGAGCACTTTAATTTGGCAAAAATATGAACTCTCCTGTTGGAGCTCACTTTCTAAGGGCTTAATGTTTATCATTTTTGTTATCACTTCAGCTAAAATATAAAAAGAATTCAAATTCTTTTTATTTAAATTAATTAATTGTTGACGTATTTCCACGGATGTGGTAGCTGGACTCTTAGCCTCTTGACCGACGCAAAACTTTACCAATCGACTAACATTTAAACTTATATCCACAATACCGTTTAAACGAAATATTTCTATCTATTTTTGATTGCTAGAGTGGTGGCTTACAGATGTGCAAATACAGAACGCAGTCTTTAAAACCTTCTAAATGGAGAATTTAACACATTTAGCATGCAGAGTGGAAATACATAGCGAATATATTTTTTTCGTAAGATAGAATAATGTTAGAAAACTGTTGCGAAGAAAATCTAGTGGACACCACCCACCTCAGAAAAAAGTACACGGTTATCCCATTATAGGAAATATTTACAACATTATTATCTGATTGATTAAAGTATTTGTTTCCATTATGTTAATAATGCCAATTTGATACAGGTAACACAAACAACTTAGTTTCATATCCGGAAATAAAACGCGGTGTACACATCCTTGGCAAAATAAATATAACTGTTGTTAATGAAAACAATAAAATCTTGCCAAGCATGCAAAATTTAGACTCCTGTAGTGTCATCGTGTTTCCATCGTTAAATCCTGATCATGAGGAAATTCAAGTGGATGGCGATGAGTCACTTTCTTCAACATTAGAAATTAAGACTAACATCAATAAAGACGGTGTTGAAATGATTGGAAATGATGCCATTTTCAATTATTTAGATGTCTTGAATGCACTGGTTTACAGTAATAAAAAACCGGCTTATTATCTGAACCGTGTATTCAAATTATCTTGCACACAGTTGAATTCGGAATTCAAGAACCAAGAATTTACACTCACTTTGACGGTGTTACATCCCAAACAACTACTTAAGACAACCACAGCGCCAACATCGAAAGTAGTTGCATCGGAGAGCTCACCATATGGGATTAATAGTGTAAATGGTGGTACGTCGGGACCGACATATCAAGGTGAATAGTTATATAAATACTGGTCGTATGAATTATTTTTACAATCACCACTTATTTTTTCAGATAACAGACTCTTCGCTCATGCAATGATACATTCTCACGACGTACAAGAGCCTAAAGTACATGTTAATTCTATTCTTCATAAAGGTAAGCAAAAAAAATTTAAACAGCAACATGATCTATCCATACATAAAACTCTAGTAAATTTCGTAAATTAGCTTTACGCAGATAACTTCATATCAAGTTTGGTTTGAAAGTGAATATTATTTGTGCTATAACACGAAGGTTTGTGGGATCAACTCCCTCCCATCACTCCATTTGAGGGCAAAAAAAATACGTGTTCTTTGATTAATATAAATTTGTACTCGTAATATAAAAAATGCGTAAAAGATGTTGCATGCTGGGCAGGTTTATGTGCCCTTTTTTCTTAGCTTCAACCAGTATGAACCAGGATAGTATCTGTTATTCGAAATTACCATCGTCGACTAGCCTTCGTCTTGTACGGTACTCTTTTGACTAGGCTCTCAGATATCTTTTCCTAGTTTTTTTTCCACTGGTCCTTCGTTAAACAAAAACAACAAGCAATTAGTTACGCATTTAGTTACACGAGGGTAGTGTGAAAACTTGTTTCGCCCCACTGGCAACCTGTTCACATTCTAAAAAAAATAAACGTCCTTCAACCCCATTCACAGATTTCCCAATTCTGCCAAATCCAACAACATCATTACCCAACCCCATATCAGCAACAAATGATAAAAAGCCTGTTACATTATTCATGCTTCGCTGTACACAGATCCCTTCAAATAGTAAAAAGTGATATTGAAATAAAATCTGAGCTAAAAGATGGTGGTTTACTACTCTTGGCAAAAGATAAAAAAAAACTGCAGACAATCTTTCGTCAACACTCTCGCAACAGCGAATGCTTCAATGGCAAGCTGCTCACTGCCCATGGCTTCAAACCAAACTCAACAGCTCACTACTTTGTTGCGCCTCTAACAAATTCTTTCGATCAGTCTTTAGACATGACAACCGGCAATTCTTCGAATCTTCGAAATAATTAATTCACAATAAAAACATTAAATCTCACTTGTAAGTACGAGATAATATCTCTAATACAATAGAATATAAATGGTAACTAAAGCGATTGCATTCACCTTGAAATCCTAATAAAAAATTTAATCCTTCTCTCATATTGTTAAATGAAACCCACATTCCATTCAATGTTTTCTCTTACACCTCAAAAGCCATCACAGGTAATTCCTTCAATAATCCTTACAACGCATCCAATTAACAGGGAGTCGCTATCTTCGTTAAGAGAAGCATTGCCCACATCATCATTGCTATCCCCCCGCTCCGTCATCTCCTCCCTAGCCATAGAAATTCAATCCCTATACAAAATCTCGTTTATATGTGCTTATTTTCCCACCGACGAATCGTTCTGAACATCCGATTTTCTTAACCTTCTCTCCTTTAGCTCCGATCCTTTTGTATTATTTGGCGACATTAACGCGTGGAGCCCAGCTGGAATCGCTTCAACCAAATTTGTTTAGACCCAATCTATGCATTTGCCAATCTTCTCTAACGTAGACCAAGAAACCTCACGCATACAAAAAACTATCCGTAAGCTGAAAACGATTTTATTTCCCAATCCTTTTAAAAACCAACCAAACAGGCACCACGTTGGTGAAACAAGTGAATTCAGTACACAAAGGCAACAAAAACAACTTGCTTGGCACGAATTCAAATATAAAAAGCTTAACGCTCTTTTTCGCCGTAAAGCCAAGTGTGCCAAGATTCTCTGCTTCCAAAAATTCACTAGTCAAATTAATCCCGATTCTAGTACTAAAAAAATAAAGTCTGACATAATTCCTCCCTCCTACCTTGCCTAAGCAAATTAATGGAGAAAATAATAACCACGAGACTCTTCTGGTACGTCCAATACCACAAAGTTATTCACCCTGGCCAATTTGCATTTAAAAAGGGGCAAGGGAGATTATATGCTCTTCTGCATCTCGATCACGTCGTGTCTGAAGCATTATCTTTTTATCCCACAAAAAGATAATGCTTCAGACACGACGTGATCGATAAAAAGATAAAAAGATAATGCTTCAGACACGACGTGATCGAGATGCAGAAGAGCATATAATGTCCCTTGCCCCTTTTTAAAGGGTTGCAATAATTTCCCGTCATTTCTTAGAAGTCTTCGATAGAATCGGGAGCCACGTCTTTTTAAGACAACTAATCAATGGAAAGTTGGCTCAAAAATTTATAGATTCAAATCATTCCTATCCAAATGCAAATGACATTTAATGAAAGAAGCTGCGATCCTCGCATTAACTATCAAATTAATGCCCACGACCTCGTGCCATTTTCAAAAACTTCAGATTTAACGTTAGCCATGGCTTCCTCAACTGAAATATTAGCTTTGTTATATAATTGGTCCAAGTCCTCAGGCACGATAATTTCTCCGACCAAATCTTAACTGCTAAATATTTGTAAAAAAAACATCACTGTAACACACCTACTCTTCGCTTTAACAATGTAAATTTATCTTGTACATATAGTTTTAAGTTTCTAGGATTAATTTTAAACTCTAAGTACTCCTTTAAGTCACACTGTCAGTACATATGGAAAAAACTATTTGTGAACGTAAATATTATCAAATATATATCGAGTAAGCTCTCACACATCGGCCCGGCTCTACTGGTAAACCTATGCAAGTATATCATCTCATCTAAAATAAATTACGGCTTAGAAATATATGGCCACCGGAATCTGAACTACCTTCTTTATTGGACAGTGTGGAAGACTACCTATGTAAACTCTATCCAAAACTTTTCATCAGTCCAAAAATCGTATTAATACAGGATTTTTTATCAGCCGTATCTAAAAAACGTTCGCCAAAGGTACCACCATCTATTTAGAAATGCGTCTTATATGCGAAACACACTGCGCTACCGCAAAAAATTCATTAACCTTGGCGAGTCAAACACCCTCCGTGGAGAGTGAAAGAATTCTCGTTTCTCACCAACCTTAAAAAACTACAAAAAGCCAATGCTCCCAGTGGCGTGTACACCCTCCGTGGATACTGAAAGAATCCTCGTTTCTCATCGACCTTACAAAAAGTCAAATCCGCTACCTTGAAGCCACTACCCCCTTCAAATCAGTCGGCTGGGAGCTCCTATTCACAGATGAATCCAAAGCATCTTATACCTCCTTCGCAGTAGTCGGAGAAGATAAAAACCTATTTCCTATGGGCTGCTATTTTATTTTACAGTATTATATCTTGACTTAAATTATAACCATCATTACTGAAGGATTAACCAAACTAGCATCGAGATTTTCCGTCAACCCTGTCGACCAATTTAATTACTCCGAACATCAGTCACTGTCACTGTATCATAACCAATTCACACCTATTGAACGTCAGCCGTCAAAATCAATGCCCCTTCTGTGATTCCACCGTCAACATTCATCACTTGCTTATCGCCTGTCCCGCCCTAGAAAACTCAAGAACGAACCACTTCAACAACGAAGACTCGCTTCATTTATTAAGAATACCATCTCTAAAATATTTATGATTTCTTATGGAAATCCGATCCTCTTCGCCGTATCTAAAGAAACCAGTCAGCCGAAAGCCGATGGTGCTAACACTGCGTACCATAGTTCATATAAAAGATTTGCTATGAAAGCTTTAATAAATAAATGAATAAAATAAAAATATTATCAATTTATTTTCAGCTGAGAACTCACATCCGACAATGTTAATTGTTTTGATTTGTGCATTTTTGGTATTCTTGTTATGTGGTGTATCCATTGCTCGTTTAAAAAATAACAATCTCAAATATTCGAATAGACATCAGCATTGTCCGAAGGTGCGAACTTGTTTTTTTTTTAATTTTTTTTTTTTGTTTTGAGATAAGTATTTTCAAATTCGTTTTATTATTTCAGATTGCTGATGAGAGCTTAGTCTGGGACGATTCTGCGTTGACGATCACTATAAATCCAATGCAAGCAGAAATAGCTTCTGAAGATAGCTCAGATTCTGAAAACTCTGATTCTGAAGATGAAGAAGGTAACAAATTTCTTAAGTGATAAAATTAACTAGTACTTGGTTTATTGAAGCACCAATACTAATCAAGAATTAGTCGCTGGCGTATGACATAAAAGTAATGTTAATAAGAACGCAATATTATGCAGAAGCTCATGAAAATAGGTTTTGTTAAAAGCTCGTATAACTTTATCTAACCTCTATTCTATATTTTACGTTTGTAGCATATTCATAATCGTAGAGCATTTAAAATGTAGAATTGTTTTCAATTTCGAAAAGCCTGTTAGAACCTCACTATAACTACCATAAAAACACTCTATTAGTAGGACTAACTTTATTATGAATGTTGTTATGAATAAATATATTTCACTGTAGATCGTTTATATATATTGAATGAAGTTGACATCAAATTATATTAATTGTTATAAAAATGTTAATTATTTGCAAATCTCGAAATGATCCCTGTTTTGAATATAGTTTACTCGGTTCAACTTAAAAGAATTTATTTATATTAAAATATTTTAATATTTATGGGCACTCAAAGCATTGGTATATCAACTGCAGCTTGACAATCATTCCTGAAATTTCAATTGTGTAAGTCCATTTTTTAACTTTAACCTTTTGTTCGCGAAAAAATAGAACATTTAATAAATTTTAAAAATAAAAAAACTTCGGAAATTAACATTTTTATATATTCGGGAACAAATTCGATTCAAATTTGAACACTGTGTAATATATAAAAATTAATGGCATTTTTTAGTGTAATCTTCTAACTCAAGAACAGACTCACCTATCCAAAACAAACGTTTAGGCTTTGCCGGGAATATTTAGTAGATGGTTTGTGTGAAGTTTGCACAAAATCCGTCGAGCGGTGGGTCACTTATCACATCTTATACACATTTAAAAATCTTATGTCCGTTTGAAAACATCCAGTAATCTCGAATAGTTTCTGACCGTTTGTTTTGAAATTTGGTCAGATTGTTTCTTTGGTTCCTTTTACGCAAAAAGAAATTCAGAAAGCGGACCAGAGTGGTTCAGAGCAAAGAAAGATTTTTGCTTATATTAACAGGGAGGTTAATCTTATTTTCGAGAAGTGGCCCAGGGATTGACCGATTCCAATCTTATTTAAGCCTCGATTTTCCACCATAGAATGACTTTTGCTTAAGAAGTGGACCAAAGGCCGAACGATTCGAAAGAATTGTATTTATTATTCGATTTACTTAAAATTTAGCGAATAGATGGCTCCTTGCTTCGATGAGCAGGAAAACTACTTTTCTTTCCGTGAAGTGGACCAAAGGCTCGTTAAAATCTGATTTATGGTTGGATTTACTTGATGTAAAACCAAAAATGTTGTATACCCACAAGGATTGAGTAAGCATAGTTAAGATAAAAATATATCCCTTGATTAATTTTTTTTACATTCAATTACAGCGAAACGTTGTAGGGTACAGCTAGTTTTATATAATTCGTAAATTCAATATACTTTTAGTTTACCCTGCTTCTTCTTTTTTATTGGCGTTGGCACCGCCGAATCAAAATTTGCAGACCATTCTTTTTTGTTATTTGGCGCCAGCTGGAAATGCCAAGTGAAACCGGGCCCCTCTACACCTGGGATAGAATTAAGCGTTCCGTGAACGTATAACTTGTCCCGTAAACTTAAGTATTTGTTATACCGCATACGTGAACGTGCATTCGTTGTCGCAATTCGTTCGTAAAAACCACACGACAACGAGTATTCCGTTAAGAACTGTCATTCGATTACACAATTGTGTTCGTAAGAAGCAAGCAATAATATTGTAAGCAATTGATTTTAAAATATAATAAAAAATATAGTTGCACTGACAAAAAATATTATTATAGGACAAATGTAAATAAAATTAACGCAGCACAAAAGGAGTTCATCTCTGAATTCATGCGGCCATGGAAGGGTGTAAACGGAAACTCAACATTTTTAGCCCGCCAGTTAAGGATGTTAAAACGTGGGAAAAGTATGTAAATATATCTTCTAATTCGAAAAGTATTAGCTGAAAAAAGAATTCAGCTTACAAAGCCTCAAAAACACAAAACGGTGGTCCCTATGAAGAGGTAATGATAACTCAAATCGACGAGACAATTATATACGCAGCCGGACTTGAAGCAGCCGTGGAAGAGAACTTGCAAGTTCCAACTTTTAGAAGCTCAAATGTAGTTTCAACAGACGAAGATGATGACTACAGCCAGCTATGTGTTGATGGAATTTTATTAAGTAACAGTAGCGATGTGTCTGCTACATCACGATCAAAGAGAAAAACTAAAAATTTTTTCAAATGTAATCAAAACCTTGCCTTGGTGCAAGAAAAGTTGAAAGGAACCAATGAAATGAAGACTGGATTTCAAATTAGAGAAGCTACTTCAAATTCAGGAAAGAATTCTTACAATCAAAGAAGAAAAGCACAAACGCCTCCAAGAGTTAAGTAGTATTAAATTACTAACTAAAACGATGGAGCTAGAAAAGTTACCATACAAAAAATGTAGAAACTTAGCATATGCCTTTGTAATTTAGCACCTAATTATATTAATATTAATGAATATTAATAGTAATAGTCTATGTACGAGAATTGAAAGATCTCATTCTATTTTTTTTTTTACTAAACAAATAAATGAAGTTTGACAAACCACGTATTGAGGTTTATTTGTTAGAGGAAATTTAATATGATCCTTATTTTATTGCCAATTCTCATCAAATGTCTCTTGTCGCTGAGTGTGTTGAGGGTTGCAGAGGACTATAAACTTTATGCAAATATTGTTCAGCGCTGAACGTATATTACCAAGTCTAGCTACTGCTTCCTCATTTATTATATTCCAAATTTTTCCAGCGTCTTTTTAATATGCCAATTGTTCTTTCAACTACGTTTCTTGTTTTTGAATGTAATGTCAATGCATCTAACTACTACATATATAAAAAAATCGATTGTTCTTATTCAGTTATTGTACATTTTTAACCAATTTGTACCTCTAGTATTTTATATTTTTCCATAAACCATTATACCATACATTTCCTGTCAGCTTTAAAAGTGTACTTTGACACACCCCATTTAAATAATCACTACCACCTGAATGCTGATACCCTCTACGTGACAGATGGGCAATTGCAGCTGCTAGCCGTCTGCAAGAGAGCTAAGTATATGGGAAAATTGGTAATATTGTTGCAAAAATGCGAGGCGAATGTCAGATGAAAGAGAGAAGCCGATAACTAGTACGTTCTAGAAACGATAAAACAAGAACCTTCCATAGCGAACATTTCGATGCTTCTACGCTTTCGTCTGCGAGCAGCCGACTGCTATATAAAGGCGACACTCAGCTGCAAGTCAAG